GTTCTTGGCATTACAAGAAGGATTCATGCTGAAGGAGCACAAACATTAAATTTTATCCCTCTGGGATTATCTTCTCTGTTTCTGAGAGCCCTCATTCTTATATCTTTCTAAACTCACATTTGACTAGATATGTTGCCTGTTAACCATTTGGATATAGAGTGTTCAAAAGCACTAGCATCAAGGCTAAGACCTTTTTTTTATTGCCATAGTCCTAAACTTTTTGGATTGTTGGGCAATAAATGATAAAGGTACTCCTGAGAGTCTGCTAACCTCTTATAAGTGATCCTGAGATGGGATCACAACATCAAGGGATAGACGTTGGCGTGATCCATCAGAAGACGCGCACTAAAGGGGAATTTTATTTTCCTCATCTCAGTTCACCCCGTTCTCCCGAATATTTCATATTGACAGTTTACAACTTTTATATTATAATCATTCATAATCTAAAGCCAAGAACTGCCCAAATTAGATCTGTCTACTTACAAACAGAAAGCTGAAAAATCAGTGCGTGACCAAAATAATATTTTCTGTTTGATCAGAATCTTGATTTAGTCCTACAATGTAAATGGCTCCTATCAGAGCTCCTTTAAATATATATATTCATAGAGTTTGCTTATTTCTTCTTACTGATGTCATTTTATTTATTTATTTTTTAGTCATTTTATTGGGGCTCATACAATTCATCACAATCCATACATACATCAATTGTGTAAAGCACACTTATACATGATGTCATTTTAAATACATAGTCACTATTTGTGAAACTTTCTATTTTATCATAGAGTTTTCTGTTTATTTCTTCTTATTGATGTAATTTTAAATACATAGTCACTATTTGTAAAACTTTATTATTTTTTTTTAGTGTTTTATTTTATTTTATTTTATTTGTTTTTTTCTTTTTTAACATTTTATTAGGGGCTCATACAACTGTTATCCCAATCCATACACACATCAATTGTGTAAAGCGCATTTGTACATCGTTTCTCAAAACATTTTCTCTCCATTTAAACCCCCGACATGAGGTCCTCATTTTTCCCCTCCCTCCCCGCTCCCCCCTCCCTCATGAGCCCTTGATAGTTTATAAATGGGTATTTTGTCATATCTTGCCCTGTCCGACGTCTCCCTTCACCCACTTTTCGGTTGTCTGTCCCCCAGGGAGGAGGTCACACACAGTTCCATGTAATCGGTTCCCTCTTTCCTACCCATTCTCCCTAAATATATGAAAAGATTTTCCATTTTGGTTATGAAAAGTTGGTTGTGTAGCCTTCATACAACGAATGACAGCATGAAAAACAAAGTAAAATTTACTGTGCAAGTATTTCATTTTGTTAATATTATCATGTAAATGAATGTATTCTTTTCAAAGCTATGTCTATCATACTCTCTTTATTGATGGAATCACTTACTTATGTGCTACAGACAATGCATCGGATACTATAGCACCATCTATATTTCTTGAAAAAGTAAGTAATTTCTTCTACCACTTTAAGGAATTTTTTAGTTGCTAATACTATGAGATATGTCCCATATGGTTTATAAGTAATAGGATCCCTAACCAAAAGCAGATCACTCATCTTCGGTCTATAAAGCAGAAGTCACTTACGATCTTCAGAAGTTTCTGAGCCTTTCCCCCCATTCTGTCTCGTGCTTCCATACTGTTCCAGGCTCTAACGCAAGGTCTGCAGTGATGGTCCACTCAGATCTAGTATAGTCTTTCTATATGTTTATTTTATTCTGGCAAAATGAGATAAAATAACCTTTATCAATGTTTAATAATTTTTCACTAGCATATGTATATAATACACAACCAATATATAAATTAAGAGGTAAATAACCAAAATTTTCTAGACTCTGATCCTAAAAGTACTTTTGACATAGGATAATGATCAATTATAAGAATTAGATTAAAATACTTTATTTTTAAAGATCAACATATGAAATGAATAAATAAATTTTTTTTAAATCAACACATGTTGGGAACATTTTAACTGAAAATTTCCCAGAAATATAAAATATAAGGGTAAGTATAAAAAATATTGCTACAAATTCTAGAACTCTTTACTAAATAAAACTATCAAAATATGAAGTATGTTTTTCATCTAGGTTTATCCACTTTTGAAGGTGGTGTTTCCATTTATGTAACCTTTCCTCAAAGAATGCTGCACACTTCAATGTGCACCACATCAAACCCTTCCTGGTCTTTTTCTCACCGATGCAGTTCTTAGTGTTCTTAAAACTTCTTGTTAATAAGCCCCCATGATCATCTGTATCCTTTGAGACAATCTATCAAGATTACCTCTTGGGAATCCAAACAAACAGCTGACATTACTGTCTTGAATTTAATTGGCATAGCAGATCCCCTCAGAATCCACTGTTTTGATTGGACATTGCTCTCTGGATTGTATTGATAAATCTGAGCTTCATCCTCAGTTACAATTCATTCTATAAAATGGTCATTAGCTTCCATCTTGCTGAGAAGAATGATGGAAAGATACGGTCTTTGAACTGGCTAATATTTGAGCAACACTTTTGGCATCCATCCATCCAACAGCTTGCTGAGGCCAAGATGTAACTTATAATTAAAAATGTAAGCTCCAGTAGCTGCCACATCGATGGTAGTCTATGGTCTTCTTCCACCACTTTCTGCACGACAGCCACAGTTTCTTCATTCCTCAAGGTGTACGTCTTTGAGGCATTCCTGCCTGTCCTTAGAAGGTTTGGTCCATCTAAAAACTTTTGTTATGTGGAGCTGCAATTAAACATTATTGCAGAGCTTCAATGATTTGAGATATCCACTTGAGTTTTGCTAAAAATTTAATATTAGTCCTGACCTCAAAACCGCTTTTTCCCCATGGCACAAAAAGTATCTTCCTTTTCTTGAAAGCACCCTAATACAAGTTTATTATTAAGAAAATCTGTCTGCACTTGTCCATTGGTCACAAAGACATGTTTAAACATGTTTGTTTGTAATAAGCCTCTGTGTATGACCTGGAACCCTAGTAGCAATACTTTTTAAGGTACCCACTTATGAAAGGTAAAATATCTATGTGTGTGCTAATGCAGCTAGATGAGCTTTCATAAGTTTCTTAAAGCATAATTCACTCTCACAGTAGATACCACCTATTACTGTAGCTACCACCTATACGCTTGAAGGGCAAGGTCAGACTAGGGCTAAGCCATGATTCTGATCATTTATAATCCAGATAATGTTATTTCTTAATTTAAAATGTATATTACACTAATCTACTTGGTCACAAATACTTAATTTATGATAAATAGGTAAAATATTGATGGAAAAATCAGTTAACTATACTGAAGTTACTAATACTCTCCCATCACATTCACAAAGCATGTATACACTTTATCTGTTGAATGTACTAGTTTCTTTAACACAGCTCAAAATATAACCAAATATTCTGAAAGCTACAGTATATCTTACTATCCTTGAAAACCACACAGAATTGAAGGTTGTAAGGCTTAAATATTATAGTTACCTTGACATTTATTCCTAGACAAGTGCCAAGGTCTGGATGCCAAACACTGGTAGTCACTTAACCTGAATTTTTTTCGCTCTACCAATTATGGAAAACATGCCAACTCTACTACCTTTCCAAAACCAGATGACACAAAATTGCTAGCCAAGTGATTTTTACTACTATTTCCAAGATATATAACATTAAGTAGAAATAGTTCTCAGAATTCCTTCTTGAGATTCTGAAATGTCCTGTAACTAGGGTTTGAAGGATAGGGTCAAGTACTTACTGAGAAAGTACCGTGGGCTTCATCTATCGTTCCTTGCTTGCCAGGGGTTAACATCTGCTTATATCGTCAAATCCTCAGATGTATCAAAGAATCACAGTAATACTTAAAATTTCACTCTCTGTGATCCTATAGCGCAATCATATACAAGACTAGGGCAAGTACTTTTTTCATAAACACGGAATCTTTAAATAGAACGTATCCCAGAAGAAATATGATTTAGTTTCAGGTTCCTGCCAGACTTTACTTTTAATGAATAGCTGTTCTTAAAATCTCCAGTTCAAATGATCTATATATGTTAAATATCTCCTTTTATTTCCCCAGGTTAGTGATACTTTTTTGCAGGATCCTTTGATGTCAGAAGAACATTTTTCTCCTTCCAATGCAGTTGCGGCAGATTTTCAGCAAGTACTAGGAAAATATATGGTATGTAACCTCATATTTTTAGCACCTAAACATTATAATAAAGCTGACAAGTCAGGAATTAAGAGTTCAGAGCTATGAAGAATAATGATATTGTCTCTACATGATGATAAGGCATACTACCCTCTTGACAAGTGAAAAAAGCAGGTAGAGGAAGTGTGTGGTATGTATGTTATACACCGTTACCTGCCATCCTGTAAGCAACCATTTAAGAAGGAAGGAATAAATGCAAGTACACGCATTTGTTTTTTTATGGTTAAAAATATTTTAACCAGGGGAAGAATAAACCAAAAACTAATTTTGAATTGTTATTTGTGCAAGGGAAAATCCAATTTCACTACCATCAAGTCAGTCCGAACTCATAACGACTCTATCTATATAAGGTTTCCAGAGCTGTAAATGTTCATAGGACTATACAGTTTCATCTTTCTCTCATGGAATAACTTGTAGGTTTCAACCACCAACCTTACAGTTAGCAAGTTAACTTTTACCCAACAGTGGTATCAAGGCTCCTTTATGCAAGGGAAGTAAAGAATAAAGTAAAGTTGAAAGGATGTGGATAGAAAGTGGACCTTTCCCTGGCCCTGCTCCCGAGTCTCCGAGCTAAGGGCTTCGCACGCGGGATGCACCCGCTGGGACCCGAGACGCGCACCCATGAGACCGACGGGACCGCTCTCGGGCTGGTCTCTAGAAACTTGGGGACAGGCTTTTATATTAAACTCTTTTAAATCTTAAAAAAAAAAAAGAAAGTGGACCTTTCAGAATGTATCCTATCTTTTAAATTCTACTTTGGAACCATGTGAATATATTACATAATTATTAAATACTTCCAAATTAAAAATGTTTTTTTAATTTCTAAAATTCAAAACATAACTCTTTTGTTTATAATGAGGTAATAGCTTGAAAAGAAAGTGAAAATTATTGCAAGTCATGGAAATGGGAAACGAGGGGAAGAAGTGGGGACTGCAAGAAAAGGTGTATGAATTGTGGCATGAAACAAAATGTGTATGAATATTGAATGAAACACCGGTTTGCTCTGGAAAAATTCACCCAATTCAGGAAAGAAGTTAAACGTAATTAGTTAACCTACATGAAGTTAAAACTACAGTTCATAACCCTTTTCAGGAGCCTTGTTGAATGTAGCAGGGACTGGGGGTTACTCGTTGAATGTAACAGTTACTCTTTGGGCTGCTTATCGCAGAGCCAGCAGTTGACACCTCAAGCTGCTCCAGGTAAATGATTTGCAGCCTCAGAATCCCACAGGGGCAGTTCCGCCCTGTCCAGGAGGCGTTATGAGTCCGAATGAACTCGATGGCCGTGAGTTCAGCTTTTCATCTTTATTGTTAGTAGGAACCCTGGCAGTATAGCAGGGTCAGCCATTCAAAACCACCGACTGCCTCTCAGAGTAAACAAATAGTTGATTACAAAGGTGATTTTCTTTGTAAAACTATTTTGTCTAATAAATGAAGGAGTAATAAAGTGCCACCATTTTCAATCCCCAATAAAATATCTAAATAAAATAAATCACTGATAAAAAATTAAATGAAAATGGATAAGGAAATTCCAAGGGGTGAATCAGGCTCAGAGTACCTTAGGCCACTGATTAGTCCTAACCTAATAAAAAGAGAAACAGTCAGTCACTATGTACATCTGGTTGCCACAAAATTAGTAATACACAGAGCATATTTGAAGTATTCTTGCCCCAAAGACCAAGGCTTTAAATCTAACTACCAGTTTGCAAAGTCCATATTAAAAAAATGCCAGAGTGAAGCAGTCAGCAAAATTCAGAATATAGGAAGCTCTACAAGACAAATAAACCAATTTAGCTAACAAATCAATCTCATAGGAGAAAAAGCATTAAGGAAAGCCTATACACGAAAAGGCTAGGACACCTGCTGGCATATTGCTTATGTGTATTAGCCTGCTAAACACAAGATCCAAAGTTCAAAACCACCAGCTCTCTGCCGGAGACAAATGAAGCGGAGATAGATGAAGCGGTCCACTTTCTTAATCAGTCCCACTCTCGGAAACCCACAGGGGCAGTTCTACCCTATCCTAGAGAGTCGCGATGAGTTGGAATGACTCAATGGCAGCGAGTCGGGGTTTTCTTTCTGTCTTTCATAATGCAGTACATTGTGTGATCTCTTGCCTGCTGCTTCCATGAGGGCTGATTGTGACTGCAAGTAAAAAGTCCTTGACAACGTCAATCTTTCCTCCACTTGGGACGACATTGTTGGTTGGTTCAGTTGTCAGTGTCCTGGTTTCCTTTACACGGAATCACAATCCATCAGTAAGGCTGCAGTGTTGGATCTTCTTCATCAGCAAGTGCTTCAGTCACTCTTGCGTCCAACTTTCCCATCCCAATCATCAATAATTACCCGTGCATCTTGAGTGTCTGTTTGATCCATCTCAGACGGAAGAACTTGGTAGACTTCTTCAATCTCTTCAGCACTACCATTAATGGATAGTGGATAAATTTAAATACTTACTGTAGAACTGAATTTCCTTGTAAAAAAAAAATGGATATTCTATCACAATAGAACTTGAAATGTCCTTTTCGACGATGAATGCATCACCATTTCTCTTGAATTTGTCATTCCTCTCATAGTAAACCAAAGTTGTCAAAAATGAAATAAAGATCAAAGTCCCAGGCTGAAAAAGATTGGTATTGGCCATTGTTATTAATGCATAGAAAATCTCTGAAAAAAACTACTTCTCTCTGTATACTCTTTTGTAACTTGTGAATTTGGTATTACATGGATCTATTATCACTTGATCTCAGTCAGAAAGCCAAGAAGCGATGGATCTATTATCTATATTGATAATTTAGATTTTTTAAAGTCCCTCTACTTTTGAATGAGTATATTCCTTTATTTCCTTAGTAAAACATAGAAGGTAATTTGAAAAATTGGGATGGGAAAATTTGAGTGTTAGTTGACTCTTTATAATGAAATACAAGTAAAATGTGTCCTTAAGACGTATATTCTCATTTGTACAATATGGCATAGTATATTACATTTATAGAAAATAAAATCTGTATTATATTTTACTTCCAAATAGATGAAGTTCAATAAAAGTCAAGGAGAAAACAATATTTCTACACTGAGAAGTCAAGTGAATGATGTAGCAAATATTATGACACAAACTATTGATACAATTTTGGAAAGAGAAGAAATACTGAATAACTCTAATAATAAAACAATTCATCTCCAAAAAACTGTAAGTGATTCTCACCTGTCTTACTATCCAAAATAGTTACTAGATTGCTACCATTGAGATAAGTTTCCAAATATAAAATCTTACTAGGTGTCTAAAGAAATAATTCCATGTGGCCATCCCATATTTTTAGGTATTAAGATGGCTTCTATAGTAATGGTAGCAATGTTAATTTCTGGCAAGATAGACTTAAAGCAAAAAGCAAGGATATTATATAACTAATAAAGGATCGACTGAATAGGAAGACATAGCCGTAATAAATATCTGTGCACCCAGTTAAAGAACCTCAACATACATAAAGCAAATTCTAACAGAATTGGGGAAATAGGTAATTCCACAAGAATTGTGGAATTATTGTGGAATAATTGCTTAAACCTACCAGTGTGTTCAGTTAGGTTCTCTAGAGAAACAAAACTAGTGGCATTTGTATGTGTTGTTTATAAAAAGATGTATATCAAGAAATGGCCTACACAGTTGTAGAAAGAAGTAAAGTCTTGTCCAGTTAAAGTCAGGTTTCTCCTGAATCATGGAAGCTGATAAACAGAAGGCAGGATGATGAAGCAGAGACAGAAGGGGGCACAGGGTGGTGGATACAGAGGTCCAAAGCCAGCTGAATTAATTCACCATCTGACAGCTCCAGGGATCGGCAGTTGACACAGTAGGAGATCGAGGAATCCGACACAAGGTCCAACTCCAGCAAAAGGCGAAGGGCCAAAGTGGATTCCATTCTGCTTAGTCTCTCTCTCTCTCTTATACCAAAAGGCTTATGACACCAAAGGGGTGTCATCAGTCTATGATGCAATTGATAGATCAAGTTCCACCTCTACCCTTAGCCAAGACTATCTAGTTGACATAATCCCTAGCCATCACAAACACTTTCTGTGAAGGACAAAATAACTATAAAGAAACTCAACAAAGGCACAGGGAAAAAAAACCAAACAACACAATCAATCAACTTGGCCTCATAGACATATGAGGGGGTACCCCCCCCCAAAAAAAAACAGTAAAAATTTTTTTTCAAAGCTATGTATTTAAATTATTTTACAAAACAACCTTACCACCTTCAAAGTACTCCCCATTACACTTAATAAATTTGTCAAATATGCAATTCCATTCTTGGAAACATTTTTCAAACTCATCTGTTTAAATGGCTGACAGAACCTCCCTCGTTTTTTTCTTCACCTCTTCTACATCATCAAATCACGGTCCTTTCATGCCCCTCTTCATTTGAGGAAACAAAAAGAAGTGTCATGGAGCAAGGTCAAGTGAGGAAGGTGTGTGCGACAAGAGAGGCTTGCTGTTTTTTGCCAAAAATTAGTGCACTGAGATGGCTGCATAAGCAGGTGCATTGTTGTGCTGGCAAAACCAGTCCCCCATCTGCCATAAATCAGGCCTTTTATGTCGCACACTCTTCTGCATTTTTTCAGAACCTCTAAATAGAAAGCTTGATTAATAGTCTGACCTATTGGAACTAGCTCCAAATCCACCACAAGTCAACTTTTTCATCCATTCAGGAAGTTGAAGGGCATCCAGAATGAGGTTTGTCATCAGTTGATATTTCACCTGTTTTGAAATGAGAAAACCACTCATACACTTGAGTTTTTCCCATAGCGCTGCCCTTGTAAGCTGTGTTCAACATCACAACAGTTTCGGTGCCATTTTTCCCAAGCAGGAAATAAAATTTCACAGCCACATGCTGTTCTCTTAAATCAACCATCACAAAAAACGAGATTCGAGTGAAATATTTTTAAGAAAAAAATCGCAGTATTCCCAGAGAAAACCTTCCCACGGCGACACCATTGGGTGCAGTAACTCAGAGCAAGTTGCTCAATGCTCACCTAGTGGAGAAAATGTGTACTATGAAAGCTCCACTCTGCCTACAGCAATTCCATTTTTTGGGGGGGAGAGGTAACACTCCACTCAACAACAGCACTGCATAAATTATTTTCTATTGTACATTCTCCAAAATAGACCATATTTTAGGCCAGAAAGCAAGCCTCAATAAATTTTAAAACACAGAGATGTGTGGCAGTTACATAATCTACTGTCAACTTAAGCAAAGGGGTAGAATCTAGCCTGTCAATCAGGTCATAGCCAATGAGGCCTCTGTGTGGGCATGGCCTTCTCTTGAGGTTTCTGGGAACTTCTTCTTCCTCCCTGTAGGTGGGAGAAACTCTCTCTGCTTCACCTTCCTGTTGACAAGCCACATGAAGCCATGGTAATGGCAGCCAGAGCCCTGGAAATGCTTCCACCGCCACTGGATCCCCAAGACTTTTCACCTACTGGCCTGTGAGCTTCCTGAAGTTGGCATCATTGCATGTGCTGCGTGAGTCTGAAGAAGAATTTATGGACTAGTGTTGGACATGTGGCCTAATATTGGACTTGGGGACTTGATCTGGACTGGGCTGGGATGTTTCCTCACTATACAATTGCTCTTTGATATAAGGCTCTTTCTTAGCCACATATGAGTGTCTCTGGATTTTCTAGTTTCTCTAGTCAGCCTGGACTAACACACTGGCTAATGGAAGAAAGAAAAGAAGAGAGATCTAAAGTCAACACCTTTTCCCCACATGTCCAACAATTAGGTAAAAAGCAACAGAATAAACCTACAGTCTCAGGGGGCGAAAAGGATAATAAATCTTAGAACATAAATAAATGAAACAGAGAAAGAATAAACAAAGCTAGAGATTGTTTCTTTGAAAGGAATAATAAAGTAATAATGAAAATAGCATGTATAAGAAGTGAAATGGGTGACATCACAACAGAACCAACTGAAATATAAAGGACAGTAATAGAATACTATGAAGATCTGTAATCCAAAAATCTGAAAAATTAGAACAGATAAACTTCAAGAAACACATAACTTTTCTAAACTTAACACAGATTGAAGCAAAAAAGTTAAACAGTTAAAAATTGAGTCGGTCATTTAAAAACACTCAACAAAAAAGTCCTGACCCAGGCAGATTCACTGGAGAAGTCTATCAATTATTCAGAGAATAATATGGGCCCTAGTGGTATAGTGGTTATGTGTTGGGGTGCAAACTGGATGGTCAACAGTTCAAAACCACCAGCAGCTCTGCAGGAGAAAGACTGGGATTACTACTCCCATAAACAGTAGCAAATCAAATACAACAAAATACCAAATGATAATGACAATATACCATGATCGAGTGGGATTCATACCAGGTATGCAAGGTATGCAAGGATAGTTTGACAATAAAAATACAGCCAACATAATATACCACTTAAATGAAACAGGCAGACCATGTGATGTTATCACTAAATTCATAAAACATATTTGACAAAATCCAACAACCACTCCTGATTAAAATGCTCAAAAAATAGGACTAGAAGGGAAATTCTTCTACATAAATTAAGGCCAAATTCATTTTAAAGAAGAGGAACTGAAACAAGAACCAGACAAGAATACCCTTTATCACCACTCCTATTAAGTATTGGAAATTACAGCCACAACAATAGTGCAAGAAAAGAAAGTAAAAGCATACAAATTGGCCAAGAAAGCACAACAACAATCTCTGTGTGCAGATAATAAAATTTTTTAAATTTATTTTATTGTGAATTGGGTGGTGAGTGTTTACCTTTCAAACCAGCAGCTCTGCTTTCAACAGTTGAAAACCACTCATCAACACGTCCCACTTCTCTCCCACACCACCACCTCCTCTGATTTCTCTTCTCCCTTTTGTGGTACACCACCCCTTTCACCCAAGTCCACACCTGCCCTCACTCTAGTCCATTGCTTTGTCTTCCTTCCCGTGCCCTCCTCCACCACCACTTTTAATCCATTTCTTGGGGTATGAAATTCTTTTACTTGGGGTTTATCCACATAGTAGGGGTCTCATATAAAATTTGTCATTTTGTGATTGACTAACTTCACTCAGCATAATAATCTCCAGGTTCATCCATGTCATGATGTACTTTATGATTTCATAATTGCTTTTATCAATGCTTAGTGTTCTGTTCTGTGTATATACCAGTTTCTTGATTCATTCTTCTACTGATTGGTATTTGGGCTGTTTCTAACTTCTTGCTACTGTTAACAGTACTGCAATGCGCATGGGGGTGCGTATGTCTATTCATGCTATGTCTCTTACTTCTTCAGGATACATACCCAGTATTGCAGACCATATGAGATTTCTATTCCCAGCTGTTTGAAATATCTCCATGTCACTTTCCACAATCGTTAGACATATTTATAGACCCACCAGCAATGTATGAAAGTTCTAATCTATCCAACATTTGTTGTTTTCTGTTTTGTTCTAATTGGGCTGTCATCATCATGGTAAGATGATATCTCATTGCTGCTTTGATTATCATTTCCCAGATGGATAGTAATCATGAGCATTTTTAAATATGCCATTTGATGTCATTTTTAAAGATAGCTTTATTGGCATATGCTTTGAATATCATACACTTTAATCCTTCAATCATGAACATATCGAGTGGCCCAAAATATGTTTAAGACAGAGCTTTATATCAAAAAGTAATTATGTATAAAGGAAACATCCCAGCCCAGTCCAGATCAAGTATGTAAGTCCAATACTAGGCTCTAAGTCCAATACTAGTCCATAAATTCTCTTTAGACTCACACAGCCACATTCGATAATGCAGAATGCAGGAAGATCACAGGCCGGTGGGCGCAAAGATGTGTGGATACAATGAGGTAGCTACATCACAGGGCCCTGGCAGGTCCCAGAATGGCTTGCCAGCAGGAAGATAAAGGCAAAGAGAGAGGGGAGGGTCCCAGGACCTAGCTTATAAGAGCACACCCACAAGGAGTCACCATCAGGCTGTGACCTGATTGACAGCCTAACTCTACCCCTACACTGTTATATAACTTCAAGTTGGCATGAACTTACGTAACTACCATGCATATTAAGAAGAGTTATGCAGTCATCACCAC